TCTTTTTATTTATTTCTTTCCGAAATCAATGCGCGATATATACCAAATTCTCGAGAGCGGAATCGAAGCTGAAACCATCAACAGAGTATACCATCTTTCTCTTTTTCCCGCAAGTGTGAAATATCCAAATGACGCATTTGGCATGTGATTGACAGCCAAAGCTGAACCGCACCAATCTGACACTCCGTTCGTGGAAGAACGGAGTTTGCAAGCCGTAACATTCACTCTCCCACCCCAGCCCCTCTCCTTACATTTGACTGTCATTCACTCCCTTAGTACAAATTTTTCGCTCCCCAGTCTTCCGCTGCCATTAAAATCAAAGATGGCGGTCATTTTTCGCTAAGGAAATACTGAGCACTCGCTCGATCAGATTACACCTGCTCTGCAGGCTAAGCACCGGGGCTCTCTATCTCTCTTTCGTCTAAAATTATTCAATATGGCGTGGCAATGGTCAACAGTAACAGAAAGCGGCCAGACATGCCGTAGACTACACTAAAAGGCAGAACGAAGGAATGTCGTTGAAACAATCGGTTTTCATTTGCTTCAAAGAATTCAGAAAGGAGCTCGAAGAGTTTTATCCCAAACGTTCCCTTAGGATAAACTAAGAAGGCTGAGTTACGTTACAAATAGAAACGTGAATTGTTTGTCGTAGGGTTCCTGTTCTCAGGATGCAGAAAATTGGGCGATTTAGCGGTGCGTTTAAGACTCTTAAGAAGTGAAGGAAGCTTAACAAAGCCTGTGAAGGTCCTTTATTCTGCTCATGAAATCTCCTGTTTCATGTTCACCGCGTCATCCTTGACGTCACTATCGTGCTTTGCTTAAAAGTCCTTGCCGTTAACTTCAATAGAACTGGTAACAAGGAAATTAACTACAGTGTTAAATGGCTGTATGTGGAAGATCAAATTGCTCAGTCTAATTGGTAATAAGAATGTCGTTATAACCGCTTAAGTTTTTTTTTAGACTTTCCTAAATCAAAACTTTATTATTTTGAATCGAAGGTTTAAAACAACAACACGCCATAATGCAACTGCAGAATGATGGCGAAACAGCCGACGTCACGGGATTTTCACTTTGGTTGTTAAAGTTTAAAAGACTTGTACACCACATTCTTCATATCTTCTGCAGCTTCTACATTGAAATTTTGAGATCATGACCACAAAACATCGAGGACGATGAATAGGACTTGGAGAGCATACTGAACAAGGTAACGGACACGACACTATTGTAGACTATCAAAAACAGCGTGAGTTTCGTGCAAAATTTAGATTAATTAATTTCCATACATGTTCTGGAAAACAGGTTAAAATCACATTCTGGGCTGACACCAGTTTTCATTTAAGTCGGGATGGATAGCTGAGCATCAGACTCAATCTGTATTAATCTTAAATTTTAGTCTTTTACGAATCAAACCTAACACTACCTACTCACTCTTAACTGACTCTAACTTAGAAAACTTTCTGCAAACATGTAAATTCGCCTTTCTCGTGATCGTTTGATTCCACTTTTATTATGTAAATGTATAAGCACCGGAGGAAAAACACTCTATAGGATGTCAGGAGTCATAGTTATGAGTTATAGTTCAGCCAATCAGACCGTGACGAGAGCACTTGTCCACGAAATGGTTTAAACTAATGAAAAACAGCATGAACTTAACTGGTATTGGCCACCTATATTAGCTATTCTGATTTTACTTTCAATTTCAAATTTCATCGGCTTAGTTTCCTACTGTGGATTGTGTTGTGGATGTGTCGGGTTGTGGAAGTGTCCGTGTTGTGGATATGTCGTGCTGTGGATTGTCGCACTCAAGGCAATTTATTCCGTAGAAGGTTAAAGGTTTACATGGTTGTCCTTCCGAGCGGCTTCACTATTAATTTTCAGCGCAGCGCTGTAAGAGATAGCCGCACAACATGGATTTATCGGACGTTTCTTGATGTGTCTCAGTTTTCAAAGTGATCCATTAACGCCAACAATAGACAGATTTTGGGAAAACAGTGAAGGACTACGAAAAAGAAAGCTGTCTTCGATCAGTTGGGTAACCCTTCACTTAGTATCCACTACATCTCCTTACTTCTCTTTTCGAGAGGAAACAACCAAGTTGGCGTTTACTGCTTCCAATATCAACAAAACTATGGGATATACCCTTAGAAGCCAATATGGATTTTATGTTGGTAGTTACATTTTCTCATTACAATAAACTGACAAATGTACTTGTTTTGGTTTCCACACCACGAAACTCATCTCTGGAGCCCGCTGCAAAATCGCAGAAACATGATGTTGTTTTGGAAAAAAAGTGAAGGACTACTAGAACGAATTGAAAGCTGCCTTCAATCACTTGGGTCACCCATCTCTTAGTATCAGCTACATCTCCTAACTTCTCAACAAAACTAAGGAATATACCTTTAGAAACCAGTGTGGATTTTATGTTGCCATTAACCTCTTTTTTCGTTAGAAAAACTGACAAATTTACTTGTTTTCGTTTCCACTCTGGTCTTACCTACGGCAAAATTACAAGTTTCTCAAGTTATAGAACTTTGCCTTAGACCACACCTTTTTAATAATAATAATAATAATAATAATAATAATAATAATAATAATTTTATTTATATAGCGCTAAAATCCACTAATTGTCCAAAGCGCTAAACTACCCACCTAACCCACCCCAGGGAGGACATCCATCACACAGTAATCTCGTGCGTGGGAAATTAACGTCTCCTACCCCAACCCTGCAGGAGACGGGACCTCCATTTATTCGTCCCTATCCGAGAAGACTAGAATATCTAACCATTTCTTGATGTTAAAGAAAGGAAGCATATTCTTCTCAGTTAATTTTAAGACCCTGAGTGTTGGTCCGGCCGGTATTGAACTCTCGACCTCCCGCACAGCAGTCCGGTGCTCTCCCAATTGAGCTAACCAGGCGGCGGTTAGCTCAATAATACGAATAAAATGTTTGTAAAACCAAGAGGCATTTCATTTTCTTTCCGCCGTGTCGAAGGGGAAATGATTGTTCGGAAACCACGAACCGTTCGTAAGAGACCGTTCCCAAGAGACTTTTCGCCCCTCGGAGTGACGTCGCCGCTGCTCACCCTGTGTGAGGTTGCCGCTAAGAAACGAAGTGGAGAGGAAACTAAAATTCATTGGCGAGACCAATATTATTGATCAATTTTCAAGTACTATTGCAATTAATGCCATTCAGATTAAAAGGTCAAATCTAACATTCACAAGTTTAAAGGAAGCCCATAATTTTGAGATTAATTTTTACAAGCGAGCTAGTCGATCGTTTGGTACTTGACATGGTGAAACCGCGTATACACCTTCCTTCGTTTTGGTTTAAAACTTTGCAGGCAACATTATTGTCAAGAGATGATGCTATTAACACCGTAAAAAAGTTGTTCATTGCGCATTTAGCTGTAACTTCACGACATTCACAAGCAAATGAATATCAAACCAGACAACTCTTCACAAATACCCATTATTAGTACCTTTCAATTTTCCTTTATTGCTCAGTTTGCGGGCTACTCGCAAAGCTGATACTGACACAGCACTAAGTTTCCTGAGAGTTAAATGCTCATAAACATTACACCGTGTCACTTGTTGTGTTGCTTGTTACTGATTACTTACCCTACCTTACTGTTAGTTGTTACTGATAGAGAACCACTTGCAAAGGGCTTGCATGCACGGAGGGAAACTGATTTATCAGAATAACAGATTTATCAATATTTTTGGTGCAAGCAGAGTTGTAGAAGAGAAACTTCATTTTTGATCTCACTTTACACACCTAAAATCATACTCAAATAGTTTACAAAACAAATGCCCTCTCGTACGAATAATGATTTTGTTTTTATTTTTGGTTATTGGTTACAGATATAATGGAATCTCATCATTCATTGGTAAGTATCGAGATACCACCACACTTCATGTATGCACGGATAAATTAGAGTGCACAATGCAATATGAAAATGGATCATTCATTAATATATCTTTAAAAAAATACTCTCTACTAGAAAAATAAAATCTTTTGAATGACAAGTAATAGCTATGTTATTCACCTAATGAATGTAATTTTGGTAAAGCATGTATTCTCCACAGACCTTGCGAATATGATCAAATAATTTTTAAAAATATTTGTCAGCGTTTAAACAATATTCAATTTTCTGCTATACCTGAAAAGTTTTATATCTAATTTTCGACTCTTTTTTGTCATGATTTGGTACTGAGAAGAGAACATACATACATACATACATACATACTTTATTGAGACTCCCTTCAACAGGGCTTTTCGGTCACAATGTTAACTAACTTATTTACTGTAATTTAATTAAAATAAAATGTCTTTAAAATCATTCAAAGTATATCCAAATTTACTACATAAAGAACATATTGATAAAAAGTTTCCGCTTAAAAATATCAATATCTTTAGTATTCCTAATGTTGTCAGGTAGACCTATTCCATTCCCGTGGGCCGCGAATATAAAATGTTCTTTGTCCATCGACAATCTACATCGGGGGATCACAAAATCATTACATCCCTTTGTGTTCCTTTTGTGAACTGCTGAACGCTTAACAAAATATTTACGTAAATAGTCTGGAGCTAAACCATTGACACCTTTATATGCTAAAACTAAATCATTAAATAAAACCTTTTCTGTAACCTCTAACCATCTAAGAGATCTCCACCCCTGAGAGATATGGTCAAATTTCCTTAAACCTAATACAACTCTGGCAGCAAAATTTTGTACCAACTGTAGTTTGTGTAGATTACGCTTAGATGTGTTCCCCCACACTGAGGAACAATAAAATAATTTACTATAAACAAAGCTATTTATAAGTAATAAAAGTGTTTTCTTATCCAAAAGGTGCTTAATTCTTCTTATCTGTACCAACTGGTTCATGCAACTAGAGGCTGTTTTAGTAATACGCACATCATAGTTAAGATATTGATCAACATATACCCCGAGATCTTTAGCAAACGAAACTGATGAGATAGTCTTGCCCAGTAGAGTTCAGGAGATTTGAGGTAGCCTCTTAAGAAGTTTTGCTGAGCCAACAACCACCAATTTTGTCTTCTCGGGATTTATTAGTAAAGAATTCTCTGCACACCATCTACTGATGTTCCTAAGATCAAGATTTACGGCGACTATAGCACTTGATGAGTCTGATGTGGGAAATTTAAAATGCAATTGACGATCATCAACATACGCAGCGGCTTGACTGTGGGTAATAGCACTGATTAAATCATTAATGTAGACAGTAAAAAGCACAGGACCTAAGATTGACCCCTGAGGTACTCCGTTTGTTAAAGGTAGCAATTCTGAGACTGAATCTTCATATCGTACTCTCTGATATCTACTGGATAGATAGCTAGTAAACCAAGAAGCTGCAGAAGTGTTGAGACCCAGTTTCCGTAGTTTTCTTAATAACAGATTATGATCAAGGCCGTCAAAAGCTTTTGACATATCAAGCAGTACTAATAATGAGGCTGCTTTTTCATCAATTGCTTTCAAAATGTTATCTTTAACATTTATGAGGGCAGTTTCTGTCGCATACATTTTCCTGTTGCCACTTTGATAATTCGACAGTTTATCATATTTTGTCAAAAATTCCACAAACTGCTTGTGTGCCAGTCTCTCGCTTACTTTGGATAGGATGGGTAACAGTGAAATCGGCCTGTTGTTGGCTGCTTCTTCTGGGTTCCCTTCTTTGGGTACAGGTATAACCTCAGCAATTTTCCATACTTTAGGAAACGCAGCCACATTAAACGAGTTATTCACCAGTCTGGAAATCACAGGTGCAATGATCTCACAACTGTCCTTTCAGGACTCGCGTAGAGATTTTATCATATCCTGGTGCTTTGTTGGTAGCTAAACTCTTAATGACAGACTTTACATCAATTTCTTTTACCTCTTGAAACTCAAATTCTTCTATTTCAGCATGCAGGCCAGTGCCAATACCTTCTTCCCTAAGACCACAATCTTTATCCTCATCCAAACCGTGTTCTCCTGTTATCAGGTTCGCTTTTTTTGCAGTAAGTTCTCCTACTGAAGTAAAATACTTATTAAATTTGTTTACCAAAGTCTCATGGTCCTCAAATGTGCCTGGAAGTTTAGCAATACCACGAGACATACATAGATTTAAGATCTTCCAAGTGGCATTTGTATTACCTTTGCTGTTAGCTATTTCGTTTCTTACATAGATTTTTTCAGCAAGCCTCAGTTCGCGTTTCACTTCTTGTCGGAAGAAACGATATCCGTTCCAGCATAGTTTATCATTTGTCTGAATGGCTTTCTTATGCCAAAGGTCCCTGGTCTTCATAAGCTGCTTAATTTCTGGTGTTACGAACGGATTAGAGCGGGACTTGATCTTTACACGTTTGACGGGCGCGTGCTGATCTAACACGTCCATGAAGAGAGAATTGAATGTTTCCACTTGAGAATCAATGTCATTAAAGAAGTATACCATGTGCCACGGAACAAGAGAGAGATCTTCGCAAAAGCTATCGGGTGCGTACCCGGAATAGCTTCTTGTAGTGACGTATTTGGCTTTGGCTTTAGGGCGATTTATCCTTAATGTAACTTCAACTAAGTTGTGATCACTTATTGAGGACATAATGACTGAGTAAGACTCCGCTAGGTTAGGATCAGTAATCATAATAACGTCAATTAGCGAGCGTTTTGTGTCTGTAATACTAGTCGGTTCCTTCACTAGTTGTGTCGGGTTGAAACTAGCAACAAGGTCTTTCAAAGTTCGACTATCCGCTGTATCATCGAGAATGTTACAGTTTAAGTCACCCAGAATGATAATGTCATAGCTAAGCAGTAACATATTCAGGAGACCTCTTGACAAACTATCTTTGAAGGTTGATGTGGTGCTTGGTGGTCTATAAACAGTGCAAATAAGAATAGATTTGCACTGTCGCACTTGAACCTTTATCCAGAGCTGTTGAAAATTTTCATCGCTAATTCCCGTGGGGTCTTTAAGAATAGTCGCATTGAATGTGTCTTTGACGTATACTGAAAGGCCGCCACCAGATTTATGTTCTCCCCGATCTTGGCGGAAGAACACAAATCCAGGAATCTGCATAGCTTGATTATCAACCGTTGAGTCAAGCCAAGTCTCTGATATAGTAAATATATCAAAGCCATGTTCTTCGATGGTATGTTGTAAAAGAAGAAAAGAGAACAGGGTACATTGGATCTAGCTATGCTTTGTTACAATATATGCACAATACATATTGGTGAAAGCTTATTATGCTTTATATTTAGTGAGTAGAGCGTTGATTTATTAGGAAAAGACACCTCTTTGATTGGAAGAAAGGCAGGGGAAGGAAACATTTCGGTTATAGATAGATAGATAGATAGATAGATAGATAGATAGATAGATGGCTTTATTAAAGTACTTAGCAGCCGAAGGGCTGAATTATGTTATTGTTACAATACTAAGTAAAGATATATATAAAAGCTAGACAAAAAAAATTACAAAATGTATTTGAAATGTGAAAAAATAGTCTATACCTGTATACATATGTATATGCAAGTGTATAAAAGACGAAAAGTTAAATAATCAGATATATCACATAATCACATGTTCATAATTGAGATAATTCAATCATAAAACGGTGCTAGCCTTCCTTGCATTCATAGATCCTTCATTATCGCCACGAACAAAGACAACGAAAGAGAGGAGTAGTTCGGTTTAGTTTGGTGTCACTTGGCCTATTTCTATGTAGTTGGTGTAAATTGGGATGTCTTGATGTAGTTGGTGTAGTCTGCTGAAGTTGGCACAGTTCACTCTGGTCTAGTTCGGTATAATTGGTGTAGATCAGTGAAGTTTGGTGTAGTTCGGTGAAATCTGGTGTAATTTGGTGTGGTTGGTGTATAGTGTGGTTGATGTAGCTTGGTATGGTTGTTTAGATCGGTGGAAAGCCTTACGAATTTCTAAAACTTTTAGAGGTTAAAATTGATAGTCATTCTTGTATTATCTGATTTTTCAGTATTTGAGGTGGTATTCCGCCAGAAATCCTGTCAAACGACATACATCGACACACATCCTTTTCCTTTTAGTGTGTCAAGAATTTAATTATTTAGGCTCAAGTTTACCCTGTTTATCAACAATAAGATGTTAAAAGTGCAACTCAGCTCAAAAAGCAGATGCTTTTGATGTAAGACTTCTGTGACTTATGTGGACGGTTCGAAATCTGCTTACTAATGCATATTCATCTATTTATTTTCAAAATCAGGATATTGATCAGAGTTCTGGGTACGTCCCTTTTACAAAACAATCATTTATTCTGTAAGTACAACTTATCAGGTGTAATAATAGTAATAATATACGCATTAATGCTCTAAGAAGATCAACGTATAGGCATGAGAATAAAAATGAAGAAAATCTAACAAAGATCAATTTTTAATTTTGGTTTTCCTTTCCTTACCTTTCACGTTCTTTTCTGTCAGAGACAGAACAAATGAAGATCGTAAAAAGATGAAGATAAAAGTCTTAGTACAGACTATTAGAATTCGAGAATTAATGCTAATTTAGGTGGGTAGGGAAACATGACAAAACATTCTATTAATCAAACCCTCACCGGTAATTATCAATTAGAGAGACAACTACGATGATAAAACAAAACAAAAACTGAAATCTCCAATCAGTCCCTAATTCCTAACACACCACAAGGCCACCCTTAAGAGGCCAACCAAAGAAAGCTCTGTGACGATGGATTGATTCGTGCCCCGGCATTTGTTGAGTTCCGAGAGGCTACCCTAATAGTATGATGTAATTTTACATAGCTTGGTGTAGTTCAGGGAGGTTTGATGTAGTACGGTAAAGTGTGGAGTGGTTTGGTGTAATTTGGTGTACTGCGGTTGATGTAGTTTAGTGCTCTTGCTGTTTTTGGAGTAGTTAGGTGTAGTTTGATGAATTTTAGTCTAGTCAGAGTAGTAGTTGTGGCTGGTGTACTTTAATAAGTTGGGTGTGGCTGGTGTAGTCTGGTGAAGGTTGTAAAGTCTTTATAACTCAGATATGAAAATACACGAGACCTTGACTTTTACAAGCAGAAATATACGTGATCACTGTTGTACTCTATTCTTACCGTAATATGAGCAAGACTTCAACCGCGTACATATAGTCCTCGATTTAAATCACTCTCCAAGCAAACACCAAGGATTAACCCACCCTTTGTGCACAAGCAAAACGCAGGATATTTTGGTTTAAGTTCTTCTCGCTGTCTTCATTTATTGACTTTTCCCCATTAAATAAAAGTGGGTTTGAAACGATCATTTTCAAAACGAATGAAAATATTATCACAGCAAGTGTTCAATACTTGCTAGCCTGGTACAGGTTCTATTTTACACGACTAATTAAAGCTGTAATGTCTTAGTGTGTGATTTCTTTACTTTTATTTCACAGGCTGCCAAGAGAGCGGGAGGGATTGAAACCGAAGTTATATGAGTAATGGTTTATCATGGAGTTTTCTATGATGGGTTTCTATTAGGGTTTTCCTCGTTAAAATATATTTATGCTTTGTACGTAAAATATTTTTGAAGGACTGGCTCCTTTCAAGTTTAAAATCCTCAAATGTGCAATAAAAGCCGTTGTTTACCTATATGGTCCACCCTCGTAATCTGAGAGGATATACAAAATACAAAATGTTCCACTGCGATTATTTCCTGACTGTAGGTTCCTCAAAGAACGGCAAACTCAAGTAATCGCCTCTTAAATTCTATAAAAGTATTTGGCGCCCAAGCGAAACCCTTACTGCCATTTATTTATCTAATGTATGTTTTTTGCAAACTAAGCTCAGCAATTAACCAATGAAGTACGTCGAGGCAATTAACCAAAGTATATGATTGGTTGAAATCAGCGCGCTAGAAATTAGCATATGTTCTCTCTAGTAGAGTACAAAGGAAGATGACAGCGCTTGAATGTGTTTTGGACACTAACAGCAAATGACTCAAATAGATTCTTGATAAAAAAAAAACACCAACAAGAACTAAATAAACATGGACTGTGCTCAGTTTATTGTAAGGTAACTATTCAACGGCGAACGTAACGAGTCTATCCCGACTTGATTTTCGCGCCTTCACTGCTTCCTGTTTGCTTTACATCAGAACAGAGAAAAGTCAAGGTTTAACTTATTACTTCAAGTGCAGTGAGAAAATGACTATCTTAAGAGCTGAAATCGTTCATGTTTCAATTGCCTCGAAAATAGTTTCACACCGTGCAATTTCCACATTATGGTCAGTGAAAGCCCCCCCCCCCCCCACACACCCAAAAAAAAATCAATACAGTTTTTCAGCTCATAGCAGACGTTTAACTACCAAACATCTACAGTCTAGTCTACAAAACTGTTTTTAATTCCAATCAAGGATAAGCTTTTAATTAGGGACGTTGGAACCAAAATTCTAATGAATGAACGTACAATGATATTAACACCCGACTAAATTACAACAGCCAACGACACACATAAAACTGAAAACAATGCGAACTGGATACCTTCAGCATAATATATTCAGAGCAATTAAAACTATCAGTAAAACAGTCCACAGGATTTAGCTAGTTGACTTTGGTTTCAAAGCTAGCTAGAGAAGGCGAATCTCTTTCATCTTTACTTAATTTTGACCCTAGAAATGGTCCCCGCTCTGCATCCAATAGCGTGTTTGCTATAGAAAATATTACAAACTCAATGTTTCGAAGCGGGTGTGTAGAATCTTAAGGGACGCAAAGGGTGGAAAGGCTCAGACCAATACAACACCATTCTTGACCCTTTACGTGAGTACTGCAATGCATTGTAGACGTCTCCTTTAGCGTCGGTAGATTGCCAAGTCAAGAATTCTCCTTAAGTAGAGTCCGTGATTTTAGGGCTGGTCCTTGCATTCATGTAACGTTCCTTTTGTCCTACGATTTAAAAAAAGGCGATACTAAGAGGAAGTGAATTAAGTGAAGGAGGGAAAAAAGTTATAAATCTAGATCAATTATGGGGTGCTTGGTCTAGCAGACAATACATTATCCTGTAACCATGCTGGTAAGGGGGCACCTTCATCGTTCTGTATCGCGGAAGCGTTTAGGACGTTTCACCCCGTCTGAAAAACCTACAACCTGTCATTCGCTTTACCATGAAGACGATAAAAGCGTCTACCTGGCACCAGAGTTTTAAGAGAGCCGGACGGTTACATCACTACTTACCTGCCTGTGCACACTAATCCTGTCCCACAACATCTGCAAGCACATCAGTGGGACTAGAAGACCTACGCAGGAAGGAATGAAGGAGCACTATAAAGACATCGTCTAGCTTGTACCCAGACCCCCGCTGTTTCGTAACACGCTCAAAACACCAAACACCACTCGCTTTGTAACCGAAGGCTACGTCACCACTAACAAAAACAGGAACCCTATGCACACTCACCCACACCACCTAGAGGCACACCAGTGGAACCAGAAGACCCACGCAGGACAAAATCAAGGTGCATGATCGAGACAAGCGCTAGCTCGTGCTCTGACCCTCGCCGTTTCGAAGCACCCCCAAAACACTATACAGCACTCGCTTTGTAATAGAAGGCCACGTCATCACTAACATATACAGGAAGCCTCTTCACACTCACCCACGTCAACTTCAGGCGCATTGGTGGAACCAGGAGACATACGCCGGACAGAATCAAGTAGCATGATCGAAACAGACGTACTGCTTGTACGCAGACCCCTGCCCTTTCGGAGCACACATAAAACGTCAAAGAGCGCCCGCTTTGTAACGAAAAAAAAAAAGAACCAGTCGTGATCTTCACTGTTACAAACGTAGGCATCAAAACGCGACTTATCCTGGTAGACCGACAGCGATAGTAGAATAGAAACTCCACATGTGTGAGATGCCTACGATCAAAAGCAAGAGAAACATAAGAGCCCTTAGCCAGCGAACCGCTGACCCAGTCCTTAATCCCGATTTCTGGGATGTTTTCTGGGTTGTCACGCAAACTTCGTGCATGAATTCGTCGTTATGCACAGAGCAAATGTGATTGCTTGCACGTCGTTAGCCATTGAAACAGACGAGCCGAGAAAACAAAGAGCCGTTTAACAGCAGACTGCTGACCAGTCCTTAACCCAATTCTTGGGATTGTCTCGAACTCGGTGTTACGCACAAAGCAAACGTGATTGCCGCCAAACTGAAATCGCCTCACGAATCAAAGGCCTCAGGTAAAAGGACGAAGGTAAGAGGATACATCACCATTCATCTTGGTTGAGTTCTAAGTTCTTAGATTATACTACAAGGATGTGATTATCTAGAATCTGTTCCAAAGGTGTGGCAAGCTAAGAGATGAAATTAACATAAGTAAGGTCTGAGAGCTATTTTAGCCTTGCAAGAGATATTCCTACTTCTTATCGGTTGTAATAATTGCGACGTCTTAAATCGTCACTAAAATGTCCAGGCTTTGACTCTACTCATAGTGAAGTTTGGAGAATCAAAATTTAGCCTCGAACGAAAAAGGCTTCTTCAAGACAGTCTACAATGTGTATCTAGGCAGTGCAATCGACAAATCGACGTCCAGTCATGTAGATTTCAGGTTGAGGATAAGTGTAAACACAGCGTGCGAAAATTCTATTAATTGTATGTCTATAAAAGCTGTGTGTATTCGACCTTACAGTTGGAAACGGGCAAAAAAAACCCGAAGTTGATCAACTGATTTACGTGACGGAAGCAACTGTTGAAGCAAATAATTCATCTACGTGCGAAAAAACACAGACAAATAATGTAATGCACAAGCAGCCACATCTATGTGAAGTTCATTGCAGAACATCTGGTGGATCCTTAGCCAGTGAAAATGGAGAAACAAGTAATAGTTATATAATATGCCTAGTGTGTTTTACTAGAAATAGCTTAACCTAAAACGAAGTGGTCAGAAAAACGAGAACTCAGACAGATTTCAATCGCTGACAATTGTGGGGGCGAAGTTACGAGCGTCCTTACGAGCATACCTGAGTATAAAAAAATATAAAATACCCATCATTTTATTACTACCGATCTTCTGTTTCAGAAAATTATGACATCATTACCAACACAGGTAAGCTTCACAAATTCAAGCGGCTTTCATACTAAATTAATTACTAGCACGCATTACACTGTAATGTCTTTCAGGCCTCAGTATAGTTCTCTGGGTGAAATTTCTCTAAAAGGAGACAACTCCTTCACTAAGGATGCCCCACGAAGGCTTTTAGATTTAGTCAATAATAATAGGCTCTTTCACTCATCTGCTTCTCTGTCATGGTTCTCAAGCTGGTACTGCTTTAATAAATGTGCGGAGATTAAGAGAAACACGAGAAGAACATTAACGATCTCTAAGAGTGTGTCACAATGTGTTTCTCCACAGAGATACCATGGCATGTCGCAAGACGAAAGGATAAGGTACAAAAGACAAAACGAAACGACAGCAATTATAATAGAAATATAGCCTTGTAAAGTTCGGTACCACTGCATATGTTTTTACTGAAATAAGAGCAACAACATAAAAGTGAAAGCTTTGGAAAATTTCAGCCAAGGAAAATATGTGGCGGCCACTGCAAAGAGGTTCACATAGTGGAAGACATATCTGAGGAATATTTTTTTCAGAATTAAAGGATGTTATACAATAGTCTATGACAATATTCTGAATTCAACTGTTAGACAACCATGCCACTTGTGTCATGGAAAGTAATTTACAGGCTACATTTTCTAACACCAAGAAGATGATGGAAAAGCATAGACGATAACATCTGAGCCGAAGAAAAGAACTAACAAAAATCATCTCTCTTTCAGAGACCGAGAAATGAAATACCTTTTGTACCTGGAAGGTCTAAAGATACGATCCTTCATTCTCCAACATGTAAGATATGAATACATTGAACTTACAGATTTTAAAGGATGAGTAGGAGCTTCTTCCTATGCTACTGACTTACTTTGGATCATTCGTTAGAAGATTACTCTTAGGCTTCGGCCAGAACTGAAAATCGCATCCAGTTGATGAAACATAGACACATGTACCTTGTGCGGTATAAATAATGAGGTAAAATAATAAAAAGAAAGAAAAGAAGAAATTCAGTTATGATCTGAGCACAAGGGTAGAGGAACTGAAAACATCCTGAAGGAATTGAAGAATTCAGCGATTTAATTTCCCAGTACAGTTAAGCCAACTAAATGTAGCACCAGATATTTGTTTTGTTTTCAAGTGAGATGAAATGAGATTTGTTAGAAATCTTCGTTATCTTGCTCGTTTCCTATCGAATGATCGCCAAGATTTCTTCTTGAATTTAATGGTTTGTGTTCATGTATACTTATGGACAACTACACGTAAAATTCAGTATAATCAAACCAAGTGACAGAAATCAATTTACTTTATTTGTTCACCGACAAAACTTGAAATACAAGTTCAATTTCAACAAAGTTATTGATTTGTTTACACAAACTGACTGGAAACAGTTAGCTTACCAGTCGATATTTGTTTAAGATGACCTGGTGCGACAGATGGACGATTCACTAATCTGCTACAGGAAAAAAGATGAATTGCAAGTGTGCTTCGGTACCTTATGTCCTCTTTCAAGGGGATATTACTGTCGACTGCTTGAAATTCTACAGTAAAACTGAAAACATTTGGTCTAACAACAGAGTCGATAAGCTCATCGAAGCTCTTTGCCTTCCCCTTGAAACGCCACAAAAACGTTCGTGATTCTTATGAATGCCTCCCCAAACGAAAAAAACCTTCATGTGACAATAGCTTCGAAGCAAGCAAGTAAATACAACTTAGTGACCGTTCACTTTATTCTCAGTCTCTCAATCTTTTTGAGAATAGCTCGACGCATGACTTGCCTTTCGCGACAACGCTGACGTTGATGTTGCGGGCGCACCGGCATAATAAAACGTCGGCAGCAAATAGAAAAACATTTTCAAGAATTAACTGTTAAAGGTTTTAGTTTCGATAAATATTTGTCAGATTTTTTTGTATTTCTTTTTGCAGACGAGTAATGAATCGAGGGAAGCTAACAATGCTGTTTATAAGAAGGAAAACAATCCAAGCGAAGGACATGATATTTAACAAAACAATCTCATTAAAGATGACAACAGGACAAAGTGTTGCGCGCCCTAAGTTACATCCAAATAAACACCACGGGTACACGTGGCCTGGTGATTATTACTTCATTAAGCATGCAGATACCCTAGGTTCGTTCTTAGCTGGTTACTTTTATCTTCTTTTTTTCCTTGTTTGTAAATGGTTTTCTCCGAATTAAATGTCTACTTCCCATTTTGTACAAACATTTGATCTCCATTGTTTCTCTCTTTCTACTCTACGCGCCAAGAGAACACAATTACCCTGTCAGGGAAAAACCCACGCTCGAAAAGTTTCGGTTTCATTCGAGACAATCCAGGGGCCATCTATTCTCTTTGCTGCAATGGAGGGCGTGTACCAAACAAAAGCTACGTCAGTAAGGGATAAAGCTGACCATTCATTAAATTTCGGCTGTGATTTACTGCAAAAGCGTTACTAAAAATACACATTTATCAAACATCACATGACCAAGGATTACCGTTGGTCACGTCAACTGAACCATTGGTCTCTATTTAATATACGAAGGAAAAGGTAAACGCCGCAATCGTTTACCACATGGAAGGTAATGTAACCAGTTGGCTGAGAATGTCGTCTCACGTTCTTTACAAGGATTTGCACATTACGGAAACGGAAGGTGAACTAAAAACTTAGCTCGAACGGTTCATGCCATTATTACAATGGAAGAGTTGAACCCTCAAACGCGACCGTTGCAGTCTTGGTAGAAACTTCTCTCTGCGCGCTTTCACCTTCGACGATCCGTCGCCCTTTAAGGAAAAATCGGGAATCACAGTCTGGAAACAATGGCAGAAAAACGAGCTTTAAAAGCATGGAAGCCGGACGCCAACATATCACTGGTTGCCGGGAGTAATAATTACTACTTCAAACTGGTAAAGCAAACGTGACAAAAAAGAATTTCTTGCAGTTCTTAAGTAAAGATATAGGACTGCCAAGGGGAGTGGTAAAAAGTCGAAGTAAAGAGTGGGGAAAGTGAGACAAAAGGCTCCGTGAATCACAAAAAAGAAAGAAACGGTTCTGAAGGAGGAGGTATACAGATTTCAAAATAACACCAATACCTAAAAGATAAGTAAAGGGTTCATTTATGCATCACATGTATGTACTGACATTTGTGTCACACATGCTCTGAGTGATTCATTCCAGCGTCAATTCCTCAACGCACATTCAGCATTTTAGGCAGCATACAGAGGCTTGACGGTAAGTTGCACTTTGAGAAGAAATTTTACCACTTAACACTGCACCTTTCCGCAAGCTTCTTCTCCTTGCATTGTGCAACTTACGCTCTAGTTAGGTGAGCCGAGCTGACAATCTAAAGTGCATATACGCGAACGCTTGGGCGAAAGCAAGCTGCTAAGGGGTATTCATAGCGAATTTTAGCCATGCAGTCAATCGCCTTAAAGTAATGAAGACTAACCTGTTCACAAAAATAGTGTAGCCTTTCACAGGAGAGGAAATGGACAGAGAGAGACAGAGAGCTGACGTAAGTAGCAAGAGCTCTATCCCAGTTACCTTTTAGAATTACACCAAGGCACTTCGCTTCACTCCTCCTTGTCTTACCATTGCCAAACGCCCAATACAAGTACCAACTTAAAAAAATAACACTATTACAGCAACTGATAGCAACATTATCATTCGATTCCTAAATTTGTTTTTGTTTGGTTTCTAAACCTCGTTAGTAATAGCAATATCGCTGAGGGAAATGTTTTCCTTTCATCTCTCACTAATCAAGATGAACACCCGATCAAAAACAAAGGCATCATTGTGTCTTCCTTCAGATGACAATCACGCCGATGTAAGGCGATTTTGGCTTTTCGCACATGTATATGGAAATATAGATATAGATGTAAGCGGGATATTTGTAGAGCAAGAGAGAAGCGTAAGACTTGCTCGAGGTGCAGACGAGAGCAACTTTAGGTTTTTTAATGCACAGCAAAATTCCCAAATAGAAGAAAAGTGCGCGTTATGTAATAAAGAGATACCAACGCAAGCAAACATTCTCCGTATAGGAAATAACCTCACATTTCAAACGTCACGTACCTTGAACGACACGTTTAAAATTTCGATTAACATTTAACTTCCTACTTAGCTTTTAACATTTAATTAACTCATGGTTTTCTAACTCTTTTCCATTTCAGCGGCAGACAAGCAATCAAAAGTGAGTAAGAGAACATCTCTTTCTCAGTACATGTATTGTCATTCACATGTGGTATATAACGATGAATTTTTAAGCCTGGAAGGGGTGTGTTGTGTTCTGAATCCAAAAAAAGAAGACTTCATGAAACTGAGGTCAAAGTCTACCATTAAATTTGCAAGAACTCAGAGAAACAACCACACCACATTGTTCGTGGTAGGAATTCTGAAAAATAGGAAGTATCAATATTTTCTTGTGGCAACATCAAGACTTCTCTACAGATGTGTAAAAACAAATTTATTTAATGACCCAAAAAAAGGAAAGCTGGTTATTGTTATCTACTCACCAATTTCTATTTTCATAACTGAATCAAGTGTCACCTATGCATATTCTATTCTGAAGAGATTTAAGAAATTTCTAGTCTCAAGCCTGTTTCTAGAATTTTCTTTGGCTGTGGTTACGACTGGCTTTTGTATTCGTATCTGCGTACATCTTTAATAAGCTATATCGATCTCTTACCAGTAGCATCCACGCTTCTGCACCAGGTTTATAATTTATTTGGTGACTAGAATTTTGGATATGGACTTACATTGGACTGCTCTTTTTAGTGTTCCTCGATCTACGTCCAGGCAAGAAGAAATTCCCTTTTCAGCCCAGGTTCCAATTGAAAGCCTAGAGGTAGGATGAGATCTGTGTCATATATGAATGACAACAATCGAATTTTCTCGCATGATCAAGTGAAATTTAACCTTCCCCAATTTTCTCCTTGAGAAACCTCTGTTTAGTTAGGGGGCCTCTATTTTGTGGGTGGAAAAGTTCTTCTCTTTTAATAAAAATTACAGTTGGATATTGGTACAGTACTGAAGTACATGTGTGCCAAACTGGAAATAGTAAGATTACTTACTTTCTTGATTACCTGCAAAGTGTTTCTCAGTATTTACCATTTAAAATATGGCATCTACTTTAGGGTCACATTTCTTAGATCACTGATAACAAGTACCAAGTTTTACTGTACCTGCTACTTTTTCTTTCCAAATTAATCCTTAAAGAAATACTTATTTCTTCCAAATGAGCGCACCTTCTATTTGAGGGTGGTGTTTATCCATAATTTTGCATCTGTGTATAGTGTTTAAGCAAGGAAGTCATTTACAATTCTGCACTGTGGTGTTGCATTGCCAATTCATTCAGGACTGTCATGAAGCTTTTAGCACCAATTTAGACAAATACATACTGCATTAATTCAAGATCCTGTTCACTAGCTCTGCCCTAGTGAAAAACCTCATAGGATCTTTAAGGATCCTTGAAGAATCTTTGAAAGATCTTCAAAGATCTTTATATGCAAAATCATTAGATAAGATCCTCGAAGATTTAATGAGGATCCTCCAAGGATCCTACAAAGATCCTTATAAAGATCCTAGCAAAGTTCTTTGTGAGGATCCTTCAGAGATCCTCGAGGACAAAACAATGACCTCTTAAAGATCTTAAAAGGATCCTATCGAGGATCCTAATAAGATCATTGCTAGGATCCTCAAGGATTCGATAAGGATCTTACAAGAATCCACAGTAATTGGCTATTGCTCTTGTGGTTGCCTGCCTATTATTGTTATTGTAATTTATCAGTGTTCTATATTTTATGTATTGTTGGCAAGGCTAATAAATTAAATTAAATTGCCATCAAGATTTTTGCAAGATCTCTGCAAAGATACTACAAGACCTACAAGGAAAAAATGAGGATCTTTCAAGATCTCAAAATTGTCAAGGATCCTTGAAGATCCTTAAGAACAAAACAAGGATCCTTCAAAGATCTTAAAAGGATCCTTTCAAAGATTTTATGAGGATCTTTGCTAGAATCTTCAAAGATAAGTTGGTTTTTTAGAGCCCATTGTAAGTCCTCTGAACCATTGACAAACAACTATAGCATATATCAAATATATTAACAGCATGTTGTAAATAGAAAGCAATATAATGATAGGAACCAAGTGGCTAACAAGAATCTGGAGGTTCTAGCATTTTTTAGTATTCAGGTCATTTGGGGCAAAGTTACACAACAATCACCCAGTGGAGATATTTAACTTCCCTTTTTTTTTAATTTCTACTATGACATGAAACTGAAACAATTCGTGAAGATAAAAGTAGTCACAACCAACTGTTAATTTGGTGTTGGCAAACATAAGTACTGCCTCAAATCAGCGGTCAGCAGTGTTTTCGGTCATGTGACATTTGTTGTTACAAGGCGCCATTTTGAATTTAACCGTTGAATCATTTCAGTATGGACTTTGTTTGCCRCTTTTAGGCAGTTCACGAGCGCTTTTTTGACTGGAAACAAACATTTTAAGGTCCAATTCATTGCCAAGACTTATTTTCCAAAAAGAAATTAATGGATTTATGGATGAAGATCAATATAAGGATTGCGAGAAACATATGTATCGAGATGAGGAGGCACTGCAAGAAATTTGTAAGTTACTGGATATTAGATACACTTTGAAGGAAAAATGGACCAAAGATCCAGAAACATTGCACTTTCATTGAGATTTTCGTTCATTGCTATGCATTATAAGTTCAAAGAATCCTTTTGAGAGAGCACCACCCTTAAACTTTTAACGGCAAATTTATGACAAGTAAGCTCACGTTTGTATGCCTTCTCATTTCTTTACTTGTGGTTTTTTTTTAGGGTAATACTTCTTTCAAAATGGCCAGTTGTAGCTAGTAACACATTATTTTGGAATATGATGCGATTAAAGCTGTATGCAGTAAAGTAACATCTTCCTAACTATTGTTTTCCAACTGTGGTATCCCCTAAATTCTAATAACAATACCTTTTCACTCTGAAAAGTCAGATCACTTACGATAGAAAGGCTGGTCTCCAGGGAGCAGACAGTTAGTAATTTTTCCTTAGACCTTTGTGTATATAAAAGAAATCTCTTGATAAATAATTTATATACTTTACTTTGAATCATCAAAAAGCTGTAATTGGTAAATGGAAATACCACCAGGATATTAAGAAATAAATCAGAGTGTTCTAAGTAGACTTCCTCTAGATTTCTAGTGAACTTCTGGACATCATGATTAAGTTTTTGCTTGATTTGCAAGATCTTACGGATGGATTTGTAATAGATTTTTGCTGGCTGAGTATTTGTATCTGGCAGAATAAAATTATCCTGTGCAATGTGTTACAAGTTATCATAGTTAAAAACATCTTGCAATATACTGTACATGAACCTTGACTAAGATCTTCCAATTTTAACAACTTACAGCAAGTTTTCTTTTTCTTTTTCCTACATTTCCTACTGTCATGAAAACAAGTCACCTTTTAGAAGCTATATTTGTTCAGTTAACCCTGCATTAATTACATTATTATTCCTTAAGTTAGTGAGAGCCCTATTAAATAAATATTGCATCCATTGCTATGCACATGAATATTTGTTTATTTGTTTAGAAGAAATTCAATAATTAAGAATTTTGTTATTAGACCTCATTGTATTGTAAAGCTACATAAACTGTAAACTCTTCTCACATAGTTTTTCTTTCCTTTTGTTAATACCATTGGTTGGTATAAGTGACTTTTTGTACTTGCAATAAAAAATATATATTATTTCCACAATTTGTAAATGTTTTGAGGTTTATCATTTTTATAAAGAATGTTTATCAAAAATCCTGACATATTTTCAGCAAAATTGTTGAGTTTTCCTTGCAAGTTCTCTGGAAGTTTGTCAAATCTTGGATGAATTGTGAAGAAATATGAAGATAATGGGAGGAGTGTCGAAGACAACAAAATATATTGGCAAGACTTGGGGCAAGATTGTCAAAAATCTTGGTAGGATTATCAGATCTTAACAAGAACTTTGACAAAAATCCTCAAAGATTTGAGCAAGAACATTGAAGATAGTTCAAATTCTTAACAAGATCTACAAAGATCTTGAAGGATCTTCTATTTTCTTGCCAAGATCTTTAGGGATCTCCTATTTTCTTGCAAAGATCTTATAGGATCTCTTATTTTCTTGCCACGATTGTTAAAGGATTTTCTCTTCTCTTGCCAAGATCTTCATGGATCTTTCATTTTCTCACCAAGATCTTTAAGGATCTTGTATTTTCTTGCCAAGATCTTAAAGGATTTCTTATTTTTTTGCTAAAATCGTTAAGGATCTTCTGTTCTCTTGTCAAGATCTTCAAGGATCTTTCATTTTTTGCCAAGATCTTTCAGGATCTCCTATTCTCTTGCCCAGATCTTCAAGGATCTCTTCTCATAAAGATCTTTGACAAATCTTTGAGGATCTTCACAATTCTTGTTAAGATTTAAAGATCATTTATGTTCTTGCCAAGATCTTCAAGGATCCTTCATTTTCTTGCCAAGATCTTTAAGGACCTATTTTCTTCTAAGGATCTTCAAGAATCTTTTATTTTCTTGCCAGGATCTTTTGAAAGATCCTTAAAGATCTCAGCAAGAAAATAAAAGATCTTTGAAGATCTTAACAAGAATTGTGAAGATCCTCAAGGATCTTGACAGAAAAATGGAAGATCCTTGAAGATCTTGGCAAGAAAATGAAAGATTCTTGAAAATGTTCACAAGAAAATGAAAGATCCTTTAAGATATTGGCAAGAAAATAAAAAATCCTCAAAGATCCTAACAAGAATTGCGATCCTCAAAGATTTCTCAAAGATTTTCATGAAAATCCTCTGAAGGATCCTCAGAGGTCTTCATGAAGATCATTAAAGATCCTTAAAGATCATCCAAAAATTTTCACTAAGCCAGTCAACCATTTAAAGTTTAAGAGTGACTGGCATCTAATTTCTCCTTACAATATCACTCCTGAATCAAACAATAAGGTTACAAGAATGAAGGAGATTATCACCAACTAAAGAAGCTCTTAACTGTTAAACAAATTCTATTTGTCAGCACCTTAGCAAACGTATGGAGAACAGTATGGAGAATATGCATACTGATGGTTGGGTGTGAAGGGTTAAAGAGACCTTTCCTAAAACTTAGGATTGACAATTTTCGGCATAAAAGGGGGTTCACAAATCATGCACACAGTGCTTCAGTGATTGCACAAAGCAGATCTAGCAATACAAATTCAGCAACATTCAAACTTGTTGGTTTTCCACACAGAATGCAAAGAAAAAGAAAAATAATTTTTCATGGCATGATTTCAGTGATAGTTTTGCATATAATTTTCAATAAAAAAAAGAACACTTTGTGGATGTCACACATGCCTTTTCCCCAGAATTGGTAAAGGTATATAATCTTGCAATAATAAAATCTAATTCACGATAAGGTAATGAAAATTCAGGTGAATACTGTTTATTTTTCATTCATCAGTTGCAGGGTGAACGAAAGGAAAAGCAAAGAAGGTTAGTCTTACTCTCATTAACTAATGTAAGACCAGGAGCAAAGCTCAGGTTTGGACACCATGAACTGAAAAAAGACAAGCATTCCATGCAAAAATACATGACATACCATCATCCTGACCACACCAGATAACACTGAAGTTAACATAATAACACAAGGTACAAAATTCATGCAAAAGTCTACAAATAGCATCATGATGTTTCATTAGCCTCTAAATATTAGCAACTATGTTACAATTAATTATTTTGTTCAGTAACTATATATTTGGAAATGTACTTACAACTGTGCTCCCTTTCATGTTCCCTTAGGTTAAGGCAAGCTGGTCATGACATTCCATTCTTGGCCCAGCCTGGAAGTAAGAACAATATTTGTTGTATTCATGAAAAGCAATGTTCAAACTTTCACACATTGTAAAGCAAAACCCCCATTTGGACAATGATACTATATAATTACGAGTACTTGTATGTACAACACCTTTCCAAGGGGCTATAAATCCTTGCAATCCTTTTAGAGAAATTGCCACTCCACTGCATGCTGGTAAAATATATCAAAGGATGTAACTCAGGAAAATTCAATATTGATTTATACTTTCACTTAATTCAGGACTATCACAGAGTCTTAGGTATGGTTTGCTTTAGATGTTGTGATTAAAAAAAATGTGCCGTTAATTGTAATAAATAATCATTGGATCTGCATTGTTGATCTGTGTAAAAAGTAAGGATAAAAGAAACAAAAAACAAAAACAATTTTTCAGATGCATGATTTAGGTTCAAGTAATTCTAAAACAATCTGCATAAAGCATTTTCAAGCTTGCCTTTCTGTGTGTTCAAGCTAAAAAGTATGTATACAAGACAGCAATTGAGAGGGTGGTGATGATTTCTCTGATGAATGATCCAAATTTCATTCTCCAGTTGCAGGATGAATTAAGTGAATACCAAGGAAGGTGAGAAGTGTGGTATTGTACAATCATACTTCAATCAGGTGATGATCTTTTCAGCTCAAGATTACTGATGGTCTTATATACAATATTTATTTATTTATTTTCAAGATTTGTACAATATAGAATGTATGCAGGTGTTAGAACAAAAGGGTATAGCATCCCCTACAAGGTTCAAACACCTTACCCAACCCCATAAAACTAAAAACAAAACATTATATATGATTAAATAAAAGCACCTTAACAAGAACATGTGTTTCTTCTACTCACTCTTCTGCATTTTGGACAAATAATCTTGTACTAATATATGGTATACCAAAAATTTGAGTTATAGAACATTATCCAAACTGACTCTTTACATATCAAATAGACCACTCTTTATTCACATCACATGAAAGTTCATGGGGCTTCATGTCATATGAACCATGTGCAAATACTCTTAGCTCACTGGCTTTATTAAAAATCTACTGGAAACTTGCAAACTAACAAAACAGGCTAAAGTTTTGGCTGAAAATTGATAAAAATAGGTTGCAATAATGAAAAGGGTTCTCTATGCATCTATTTATTTAATTTCTTGTCTAACTGAGGCTGCTCTTCACCAAAATAAGTAATAGCTGACAAGTTTCTTTTTTTATAGTATGGCTATTGATGAAACTGTTTTGCTCTTCTTTGGATGGCTCTTTGGCAATATCATCTAAATTCTCAAGGCTTACAAAACATTCTGAAATTCAAAGCAAAACCTATTTGACAGAAATGAATATGTTTGTGAAATGAAATATAAAATCACTCAACTGTCCACTTTTAAAAAGTGAAGATGACTCTTTTTAAAACTTCGAAAAATACTAACTTCATATTTCACTACTAATTGTCTCCTGTGTAATGACTGGAGTATTATCCAAATCTTTGTTTAAAAAAAAAAAATGAAAAACTGAAGGAGCAGCTTCAGCTAAACAATTCAAAGAATTGTTCAATCAGTGTCTGAATCATTTACATCAACCACTACCTGGTTGGCTCAAGTGGTAGAGCACCAGACTGCTGTGAAGGAGGTCAAGGGTTTGAGCCTCAGACCAGACCAACACTTAGGGTTTTAAAATAACTGAGGTGAATGTGCTACCTTTCTATCATATCAAGAAATGGATAGACATTCTAGTCTTCTTGGATAAAGATGAAAAAACCATAGGCCTGTCTCTTGCATCTTCTCCGTACTGGTTAGCAGGGGACATTAAAGAACCCACACACTTATCGCAAAGAGTAGGGAATGTAGCTCCAGGTGGTGTGGTTTGACAAGTTCAAGCAAATTTTTAAACTCAGCTTTTAATTTTTCAATTATGTCAGGAATATTTTTCTGGAGACATGTACATGTAACTTCTCCAAACTGACAACCAGAGAGCACTGCTTTTCACAGTGTGCTAAAGAAAACCTGCTCAATATGCAAGTCATTGTTTTAAATCACACCTCTGAGCTGATGTAAACTTTAGGCCCACTCAGAGGTAATCAAGCAACCTGAATGCTCTTTTTTTTATTTTTCTAATTTTTGTACTGAATTACCCTTTGATGTACTAACTTGAAACCCATTTCTGCATCATGTTTCCTACATTTCTCTTAGCCAATAAGATTCAAGAATTTTTATTATTTGTATCAAAAACAAAAATGCATAAAAAAAAAAAAAAAACAATAAAGGACCTGGAACTACACTTTGATTTCCAATCAGTTCCTTTCAATTTCATGATATCAATTCTCATAGAAGGGTTACCATAATTATGGTGCATGCGTAGTCTTTCTTTATATAATTATGTGAATGCAAAATGTAGGATTAGGCAGAAATGGTCTGAAATTCCCTAAAACTGCTAACCACAAATCCGAACATAACTGATGCTTCAAGGGGGGAGGTAGGGGACACCTGCCTGATTAAAGTTTCATCAGCAACAGCTATTGGTCCTCTTTAGAGTCCATAGACAAACAAGAATAAAATGATAAAATGTGTAAGTTACATTCATATAATTACCATACCATGAATATCCATGGGAAATTTTCTTCAATCCAAATGGCTAAGAGAAATGTAGTTTTTAGAGGGCACAATACAGAGAGGTAATTCAATGCAGGGAAGGGACATTCAGTGTACAAGAAGGTAAAAAACTTTGCCTTTGAACTTTTCAAACGGCTGAAATAACTTAGTAAAAACAGTTTGAAAACTTTTGCTTTGATTGAACAGTTATTTTTCCCAAATGCACCATGGCATTTGCAGGTTTGAATCAACTATTTTTGCACATGATTCATGTGTTTTGCCCTAACATAATTGTACAAAGGTCTCTGAAATTTTGCATTCATATCATTCACCCATAATAATATAATTTTTCTCAAGCAATTTGGAATGAACAACCAAAAATAAATTTATTCATAAGTCTTTTAAAAAGGTAGTTGTTTATTACATAAAATTGTAAACAAAATCAGGTGTTATAGAATAACTGTAGAAATTCTTCTGTACTCATAGGTTGAGAGACACAACCATCAACAGTCCACACTTTTGATGTTCTGTAAACCATTTGATACCAGTAACAAGTTATGGAGCAACTTCAGAATACCCGTCCACATCATTTACATATGTCGGGAGGCTTTGAAGAATGAGGCATAACACAATAGACGCTATTCTTATTCAATGACATGGAAATGATGTGGCCGGGTATTCTAAAGTTATAATTAATTGTGGGTCAACTGTCACATTTGTCAAAAATAAACCAGTTATGCCTTAGCTTCGATGCCAGTTTATTGATGGTGTATTTTTTCCTCTTCTGTTGATCAAGTAATGCGATTTGCCAAAAAAATGCTGCACTAAGCTGACATGAAAAACAACCTATACTATAAACTTACTGAACATATAAAAGAGCTCAACGATAAATGTTCTTAACTTTTGAGAAACCACTCAAGTGCACCTTGTGCTTTCACTTTGGTTTTGAACATTATTATCATCATTTCTTGGACAATGGAAAATTGCGGTCGATCTGTTATATTACCTGTACTTAATACTTTTCCAGATGCCAACTGAGCTAAGAGAATACAGGTACACACAAGGTCGAATCCAAAATGCATTAAAAGCTTGGTTTCATGTTTCAAATTTTTTCACCCTTTTGATAAAACTCAGAGACAACAATCTAGACCGTGACCCGCTTTAAACGGTCAACGATATACGTCAACGATACGTCAACGAAACGTTGTCAGAGGTCAAGATATTGAACATTAAATTTTATGCGACCTCATTACTCCGAAAGTGTCGAGTGCATATTACACTTTTTTATGTTGTTATTACTGGTTTCCCACTCTACCTTCTATTGATGAGATCGCTTCTGAGCAAAGATGTCATCGTTAAGCTTAATAAAAGATGTCATAGCAAGGGCTGGCTTCTAAAATAAAACCTCAGAATCCCCAGAACTTCAGTCTCAATCCTAGGGCCATACCGCTGGCAGGGAGCCAAAATGACCCTGGGCTCGGGATTGATAGGACCTCAAGAGAGAATCAGGCCCATAAACCTTACTGTTCTACTGTATTTCTCGAAGCGCACACGTTATATTTCACTTGTTAGAGGCAAGCTAATTCCCTCATCCCCAGCCCCGGGTAGCTGTCAAGCATTTGACTGTCATGTGCCTAAAAGGGTGGGGAATTTAAACCTTGCTTGGGTGGGGCGAGATTTGAAATTAAACTGTCGAGTCTTTCCAGCGGAATAAACGCGTTTTATCTTTTATTATGGAGGTGTCTAAAGGTTAAAAGTTCACTCTTGCAAAGTCACAGTTGCTAATGTTGCCTTAAAAAACTGACGATCAAATCTGAAATGTGGCACTTGGGTGGGGCATTTGAACTCAAATTTCGCCCCTGGCGGCGGGAATTCAAACGAAACAATCTTCATAAGTTCGAGTTCCTGGGGGTTGCCCGGGAGCTTAGAATTAATTGACGCATAAGTGCATAGAAGCTTTCCGTTCCTTAATGAAATATTTGTGCGAAAGAAAACGCGTTTTTTTTTCATGGTCAACCGACAAGAAGTTCATTTGCGATTTCGGATTTCAAACTATTTTTCGATGCAATGAACCTAATTTTCTACAGAATGCGACGGGATGCGGAGCGATGTTGTGGCGACGAAACCTAAATTAATAATAGTCATCGCTCCTTTAAGTCCAAGCGGTGCTCAGGGCATCAACAAGATTCCTTCCCCCGTTTAGGTTTCCCGAAAACTGCGAAGCTTGCTCTGAGCTGATAGATAAAATCCTGTGTTTAACCAACGCAGTCCTCCTGTAGGCGGATTTGAAAGGCCTCTTTTCCTTTTCTCTCCTCGGAAGTCCGATGTCCAGTTTGAAAAGCTCATTGTTGGAATCTTTCATGATCATTAGATACGCAAGATTATTAGAGAGACAGCATGTGTTCAA